CGACCCAATCCCCCTCTACGTGCTATCGATCCTGCTGCCTCAGACACCCTCGGTCCAGTCCGATCTTAGACTAGGAATGAACTCCATATGCCTAAGCCATTTTGTGGCCCATGAATTCATATGAGCCCTCCCCAACGCCCGCGTGCCACGCGCGGGTGTTTTGAGCCTGGGCCAAGCACCAATGCATGCCACGATCGGGTGGTAGGTGGGTTTAGGCACATCTTCATATTTCTACCATGCCAATGCCATTTTTATGGCTTGTAAATTCATACAATGGTCCCCTAAGCCTTCATGTGAAGTTTCATGGCAAGATGACTCGTTTTCTATTTTTCATAATTTTTAAAAGTTTTTACGGTTCGAGATTTTTTAAAATTTTAGAAGGAGTTTTGGCCCCAAATTTGGTAGACGTGATCCTTGTATTTTTGTTGGCATGCACAAAAAAATTCAGCTAAAAAATCGAAGTGGAGAAGATTTTGTGACCATTTGAAAAAAGTGTCCCCATTTCGGACACTTGAATGGCTACTGGCAGCAAACCTGTAAAATCTCAAATGCTCTTTAAGGGTGTGTGAGTTCTCGAGGTTTGATGAGGGATAAGGGGCCAATATAAAGGCCAAGTACCAGCACCCATCGCACATCATGTGCGCACACCCCTCGGCCCCCCAATCGTCAGAGCCCTCCAATGCCACCGGTTAAGTTCTCTGGCGATGCTCCGACGATGGTGCCCCGAGTAAAAAAAATACAGCACCAACACATGCTCGAGCCCAGCATGTGCACCATGGCTCAAAATCAAACTTCGGCCAAGGCTTCGACCATCAACGGCACATGATGGCGCATGGTGATGGCACATACATTGACCATCATCGGTACAGGCTGCCCTTTGGTATGGGCACTTACCTCGACCGCAATCGACACAAGCTGGGCCCTAGTGCGGGCAGTTGCCTCGATCACCATCGACACATGTTGACCCTTGGGGTGACTGATTGCCTCGAGCACCATCGCCACAAGCTGACCCTCGGTATGGGCTCTTGGTTCGACCACCACCGACAGAAGATGGCCTCTAGTGTGGGCGGTTACGTCGAACACCATCGGCACATGCTGGGCCTTGGTGCGGGCGGTTTTCTCGATCACCATCGACACATGCTGGGCCCTAGTGTGGGCGGTTACCTCAAACACCATCGGTACATGCTGGGCCTTGGTATGGGCGTTGCCTCGACCACCATCGGTAGAAGATGACCCTTGGTGTGGGCAGTTGCCTCGAGCACCATCGGCACAAGCTGGCCTTCGATACGGGCTCTTGCCTTGACACCATCAGCACTTGCTCCCCTAGGTACGGGCAGTCGCATTAAACACCATCGGCACGTGCTGACCCTTAGTGCGGTCACATGCCTCGACCACCATCGACACCTGCTCACCCTCGGTGTGGGATATGCTTGTTTGGAAAAAGTGTCCCTATTTCAGACATTTTAATGTCTACTGGTAGCATATCTGTAAAATCTCTAATACTCTTTAGGGGGTGTTGGTCCGGCACCCCCTCTCCCCCCTAAAGGGGGAGTAGGAGTGCGTGATGGGCCTCCCATTGCGTACACCCAGGGCAACGTCCCTCGAGTGAAAATACAGAGCATGCATGCCTTTCGACTATTTTGTTCAATGACTGGTTGCTCCGATGACTGGCAGGCATGCATGGCCTCGACCGTGCATGCGGTGGATGCCGCCCTAGACCCCAGACCAAGTCCCTGAATCGGGCAACGGCTTCCTAGGGTGGTGCGAACAGAAGTTGCAGTTGTGGGCTTGGCCCGGCCAAGTCTCTTGGTATTTGACGGTCTCATAGTCCCTTCTCGTCGACCATAAAAATGCCTTGGCCTCGGTGAGGTCGTGCACACAGCTGATGCTACCCGAGACCGGAGGAACAAGTCCCTGAATCGAGCAACACTCCTCTGGGGTGGTGTCAGTGGAGCTCGCGCGTGCGGTCCCGGCCAGGCCAAGCATTGGTGGTATGGCACCGTTGTTGCCTATCGGATGGCAGGGGCAGTCTCGTGGCCCTTGCTTGTGTTTTTCTCATGCCAAGAGGTTATGGCATGGCCTCGCACGTCATTTCCTCCGCTCACTAGTCGAGTAATCGATCGGGTGGGTTGTGGATCCACGCGCGTGGATGCTGCCACTTGTACGCAATGGGCATATGAGTGGTTCTATAGTTGTGCGCGTTGGCAGGCTCCGTGCTCGATGCATCAAACTATCAACCCGTCATCCTCTTCAATCTCCCTCCACGCGATCATCGTACCCCGGGGGCACGATCGAGATCTTGTGCTGCATACCTGAATTGATGGAAACCGAATGTCTCACCATCCCTTATCCGTGTCGTGTCCCTGGGGCCACGGGTTGAACATCAATCGTGGCCGGTGTCCCAAGCACGCCACCCAATCCTCCATGGTTGTATTGGTGCACTGGCGTTCGATCATACTTTCGGATGCGAAACATTTAGTTGGTGTGGGCTCTCGACCCCCATTCGTTTGATGCTACGCATTTCATGTGCTCGACACGCATGACACTTACGCTTTGCGTCGGGCTCTCTCAGTCGCTTGATCAATGCGTCGAGGCCCACGTGGTGCCAACATCCCAAAAGATTGCTACCTGGTTGATCCTGCCAGTAGTCATATGCTTGTCTCAAAGATTAAGCCATGCACATGTAAGTATGAACTAATTCAGATTGTGAAACTGTGAATGGCTCATTAAATCAGTTATAGTTTGTTTGATGGTATCTACTACTCGGATAACCGTAGTAATTCTAGAGCTAATACATGTAACAAACCTTGACTTCTGGAAGGGATGCATTTATTAGATAAAAGGTCGATGCGGGCTATGCCTGTTGCTCTAATGATTCGTGATAACTCGATGGATCGCACGACCTTTGTGTCAATGACGCATCATTCAAATTTCTGCCTTATCAACTTTCGATGGTAGGATAGTGGCCTACTATGGTGGTGATGGGTGACGGAGAATTAGGGTTTGATTTTGGAGAGGGAGCCTGAGAAACGGCTACCACATCCAAGGAAGGCAGAAGGTGCACAAATTACCCAATCTTGACATGAGGAGGTAGTGACAATAAATAACAATACCATGCTTTATGAGTCTGGTAATTGGAATGAGTATAATTTAAATCCCTTAACGACGATCCATTGGAGGGCAAGTCTAGTGCCAGCAGCCGTGGTAATTCCAGCTCCAATAGTGTATATTTAGGTTGTTACAGTTAAAAAGCTCATAGTTGGAACTAGGGTTGGGTCGTCCGATCCGTCTCACGATGAGCATTGATCTACTCGTCTCTACTGTCGGTGACGTACTCCTGGACTTAATTGCCCGGGTCGTTCCTCTGACACTATTACTTTGAAGAAATTAGAGTGCTCAAAGCA